AAAAGGAGAGGCACTATTCCGCAACATCAACAAGAATCTGATTTGAGGTTGGATCATGAAATTCATGATAATTCTCCAAAAATTCCTGAAAATATTCCTCTAGGTAATTCTAATTCTTCCAGTCAGCTTGATCTTCCCATTGCTCTTAGGAAAGGTGTTAGGTCTTGTACAAAACATCCTTTGTCAAATTTTGTATCTTACCAAAATATTTCACCTTCATATTGTGCCTTTATTTCACAAGTGTCTAGTGTATCCATTCCTAACAGTATCCAGGAGGCTTTAAATGTTCCTGAGTGGAAAGAAGTAGTTTTTGAGGAGATGAGCTTTGGAAAAGAATGCTACTTGGGAGAAAGTGGATCTGCCGGATGAAAAGACAGTTGTTGGTTGTAAATGGGTGTTCACTCTGAAGTACAACTCAGATGGATCCTTGGAGAGATACAAGGCTCGCCTAGTAGCTAAAGGCTTTACTCAGACATATGGAGTGGACTACTCTGAGACCTTTTCTCCAGTGGCAAAGCTAAATACAGTTCAAGTACTCTTATCTGTTGCAGCTAATCTTGAYTGGCCACTGAATCAGCTGGATGTGAATAATGCCTTTTTGAATGGAGACTTGGAAGAAGAAGTATATATGGAGCCTCCACCTGGTTTCACTGAGAAGTTTGGAACTAAGGTATGCAAGCTAAAAAAGTCTCTATATGGACCTAAACAGTCTCCCGGAGCTTGGTTTGAAAGATGTAGAGAACACTGATGTGGGCCCCACCCCACGGCTGTGGTCCCCACTGTGTTCGTAAGACAGCACATGTAATCTTTGATTAGTTTGTCAGTGTTAGTTGGTAGTTATCTTAGACAGCTTGTTATCTCAATTATTTATTTGTTTTATTTGCCATGTAGCATTAAGGGAAATTTTGTCCTTTCCTACATTTAGTGAACATAAACTATAGATATTGAGAGTGGCGGCAGCAGATTCATTCGATCTGTCCCTCCTTTCAAAACCCTTGTGTACTTCTGCTTCTCCTTTCTTCTCCCTCTTTCTTCTACTTTTCTCTACTTTTCTCAATCTGAAATCTGTTGGAATTCAAGATTGATTGTAGTCTTGATCGACTACTTGGTATCAGAGCCTATCTAGGGTTTCTCATGTGAGTCTAGTCCAGCCGACCACATGAGAACTGTCTAGGGCTGGAAGCTTACAAAGGACT